CGCGTGGATTAAATTATAAATCCGAAATTTAGAATATGAGTAAAAAATACAGATAATCGCCTTTTTTTAGAGTTGATAATCTGCTGTTATGAATAAATTATCTGTTAAGAAAATCAATTATTAAGTTTTCCAACGTATTGTAAATTTTTTCAATTATGCTAATGAGAGCTTCGACGTAAGTGAGAAGATGTTCGAGATTCGTTTGTCCCTCTTAAGTGTCCACATAAGTAAAACACATAAAAATGACTAAAAAAAAAAAAAACAAAAATATATCGGAAAATTCTCGTTGTGTCCATATTACTGCGCGAACCAACTTTTTTATTGACTTCGAAAGAAAAATGGGAGAATTTTGCAGAAAATTGACTTTAAAAAATTGAGATTATCAAGGATATTGTAAAAAGAGAGAAAAAAAGACGAAAAATGACACGAAATGAACATTTAAAATGGAAATAAAATAACGCATTTATTCCTGTTTTTCACAAAACAGGATTCGTAAATATCAAAATACTAAAATATAACATGCTTCAGCACAGAGAAACGCAGATTGAGATGGACTTGGAAGATTTACAAGAGACATTAATTATTATTCATTAGCAATTGCATGAGAAGTGTACCTTCCAAATCTTGAATAATTTAGCGAGCCACTTCGATCAAATAAGCATGACGTTCGTTTTGCGAATCGAGCTCTCCTCAAGGATGTTTGGTTTGTTCCCTCTCTACATACTGACATTACTGACATTACTGACATTACGATAGTCTACATTACTGACAACGGAACGCCATGTCGCTTACAAATTGTCGCTATCATCCTCGAGTCAGTTATGCAGTAGTGAAATTTTCATCTCTGCCTCTTCATAGCCTCGACAATGATGGGAACGTGCCTGTCGTTCGCCGTTTCGCCGCTCGGCAACGACGTGCGTTTGAATACCATGCACGTAGAGGAGGACGTATTGTTGCACGCTTTTCGTCCATGATTCATATTAATGGAACTTGTCTCGACGTTGCTAATAAAGAGTTTGACGTTGTCCCCGTGCCGCGCCGCGACGAGAGAAAAAGAAAAAAAAAGAGAGGGAACAAACTCTCAGACTCTGAGAATTTTCTTTGTTACTCAAGACGGCACGTACTTGAAACTGCGAGGAATTTTGACTTGGTCATCTTGAAAAATGTTTTCGCTGAAACAAACGTGAAAAGAAAGATTGATTTTCTTGTTTCGAGATTTTGTCTCCGCCGAACTTGCCTCAAATAAAATCCGATCGAACTGGATGTCCTTTAATTCTTAAATTCTTCATACATAATGTATTATTGCAGCCAATATTCTTCTTTTTATTTTATATTTTAGTGTATTTTTAATTTAACTTATTTATTTTTAATATTAAATGAGAAAAATATCCATGGAATTAGCATACGAATATATCCATATTAATTGTAAGAGCATTAATATATTATTATGTACATATATAAGAATGATCTAGAATAATTTATTTTGACCTTAATGGATAGGACCAATATTAGTAATTATATTTTTTCAAATGTTATGAAATGATAAAAGAAAACTCAATAAAAAAAGGATTTTAAAATGGAGAGAGATCAGGATGAACACGTTATGCAGAATTATTATATAATTATAAGATCGGCCCTATAAACAATTAAATGCTTAAGTGTGTTGGAAGGCAAAGAAAAATACATGATTTGAAAAAAAATTTTTTAGCAAAATGTATAATTAGTGGCGACAAGAGAAATTTTTCAAAATAATTTGGCGTCTATTCAGGTTAATTTTTTAAATAATAATAATTAGTTAATTTTTTTAACAATAATAAGAAACACACACAAGACCGTCAAATATATAATTAAGTCAATTAAGGCCCGGTTCCATCCACGAAAGATTAACTTTAATCTTGATTTAACTATTTGTTATCTTTTTCTAATTCTTAAAATTAGAAGAAGGTAAAGAGTAAATTGAATTGAGATTAAAGTTAATCTTACATTGATAGAATTAATGCTTGGAACTTTTAATTCTTTGAAAAATAAAGAATTAATTGAACCAAAGTTAAAATTAAATTACATCGATAGAAACTGTCATAAATAAGAGAAGCGCCATTTACAGTCAAAGATGTTAGAATAAAGTCCAATTGCACCAATGTTATTTTAACTTTAAGCAAGGCTTCTCTCTCTTTCTCTTTCTCATTCTCCCTTCCTTTTTTTCTCTTTCTCTCTTTAAAGTCGAAAGAGAGACAGAAAAGAAGACAATTTTAAGCCTTGCTTAAAGTTGAATTAACGTTACACTCAAACTTTGTACACTACTTAAATACATATATATTATTCCATTGATCTTAAATGGCACTCTTCTTACTTAACTTTTTTTTCTTTCTTTTTTTTTAATTTAAGGACAGATGAATTGAGCAGAGGCATTTCTCTTTTTTTGCAAAAGCTACGTTTAGCAAAAAAGCAGCTTTGAAACTGTTGTAAAATTCTCTATTAGATTAATCTTACCCTTAATAAATCTAAATTCCTTATTAGATCTAAATATATAAACCAATCGTATAAAAGAATTTTTACAATAGTCGCAAAGCAGCTTTTTCCGTTGAACGGAGCCAAACCCAGTCCCGATATCAATAACGATGTTTTCTTTTCTCACGCAGTGCGTCGATGAACTACCCCCGGAGATGCGTTCCCTGCTGAAATTGGCGGTAGAGTTGCCACCAGTGGCCCATGCTGCGGTGTCCGGCGCCCTGGCAGTGATCGGCGCGATCGTCCTGCTCGGTGCGCTCATGTGTCTGGCACGCGCCGCCAAGCGCCAGGAGAAGCTGCACCTGAGCAACCCATTGCCGGCGAACGCGACGAGCACCAAGACCGGTCAGCTGAATCCTGCTTTCAGCAAGTAGAGTCCAACCGGTTACAAGTGAGGGAATCGAAACGAGTGCGCGAGTACTCGGAGTTCCATCCCGCGAGACGAGTCGCGCGCCGGGTAGCGCGCGAGTGTACTCTTTCGCGAGGACTTGTACGATAATCTTACTTATCTTATAGGCGACGGGCATGTGCTTTATATCTCGATTAGAATTTCCACATTCAATTTCGCAAGAGAGAAAAAAAAAAGCGGAACGAGTCTAGACAACAAAAAGTCCAAAATCGAGGGATAGGTTTCGTTTTACACGTTCACACGCTGTAAGCATCAATTCATCATTGTTATCTATGAAATATTAAACAAATAATGCTTACAAGCGCTGTAAGCGCAAAATGGGATGCACCCAGGATATGTCTTTAATATGTCTAAAATGTTTGTAAGACATCTTCTTTTTGGATGTGTTGTCTGGGACAAGTTACATCATTTTGACATCAGATAACATTATTTTGACGTTAAAACAAATCGTAAATGATTGAAAAATGACTTTTAATGATTCATTTTAAAGTCATTTTGACATCATTTTGATGTCAAAATGACATTGACTTTCTGTTTGGGAGGAAAGGAGAAAGAAGAGGGAGAGGCTGCCCAATGAGACACGAATTTTATCGGGTTACATGCGGACAGTCGGTACATTAAATTTATTTATATTATGTGTGTTTCTTCTCGGGATGGTGTTTTGTTAAACGGTGTTGAGTCGCACGAGTATAAATTAATCGCGAGCAACGGTCGGCGACGAATTTGAGATCTGTGGAGTAGACGTTATCTGCTCGAGACGTAATTGTGACGAATCGGCAGATCTTTCCTTCGTGAAAGATCGAGTTAAAAATTCGAGTTGAGAAAACTCAGAAATATCTGTGAGTGAATTTAAAATCTAGGTCTTCCCGACGAAAACATTGCAAAAGATCCGCGCTTCGTCACGGGTTTTTTAAACTCCATCGTTGACTTCTTAGCTGAATTAATCGAAAAGTAGAATTTTATATTTATATTTAGATTTATTTTATTTTACCTTGACATTATCATTATGAAATGAGCAATTAAGCTGACGAATATTTTATTATAATATTTTTTTACGATATTCCATGGAAATAAGAAATTAAAGTTGAGTCATTGCTAGGAAAAACTCGGCGATCAGGATTTATATTGACGCAACACCGTTCTTTTTATTAGGATTATTAATATTAATAACGAGCTGCTCTTTGCTCTGCACGATCGAATTGATCTTTAAGGATCATTGTTTAATCGTGTGAAGCAATTATCGCTGCGAACACTGACGTAAAGGATGAAGGATGAAATTGATATTCCGTCCATGCCGTTGTTCCGAGGACAAGCTTCGTTCACGACTTCAATTTGGATTGCACGAGCGTGTTTGCGACGAGTAGTTTGTGCAATCGAGACGCAGCAACAGCGGAACGACAGAAATCTCTTTTTCTGTACATAGAACCTGACCGTCATTGTCGTCTATCGATTGTAATTACCAAGATTGTACTATTTCTCGTTATTCGTTTGTACATGTATTATTATTATTATTATTATTATTATTATTATTATTATTATAAATAATTATTAAACGTAGATCATAATTAGATTTAATAAATAAATTACTTTTGTATGATAAAAATCAAAAGATACCAAATTGCGCACGAGCGTGAGAAATCTGGTTAATGGTGTCAGCGTAATCGTTATATAGTTAGATAACTATACTCTTTCTCAACTTTACTAACTTACGAAAATTACATGCGTATGTAAACTTTATAGAAAAATAGAGTTACAATTTATTAGCTTGTTGCAAAAGATTTATCGTTTTTTTTTTATATTAAATAAGAATGAAGCTAAAGTTTTTTAAAAGTGAAAACTTCTTCTTGGAATTTAATAGTAATAATTTTTCTTTTGGATTTTCTGGAAATTATGCTTTTCACATATTTTAATAAATATGAATCTTTTGCACCAATCTGACATTTTGATATTTAAATTCCAGATATGAAAGAAAGAGAGAAAAAGGAATAGGAACTCTTCAACTCTGATTTATTGCTCACGCCTTATTCTTATCTCTTCTCTTTTGTCCTGGAAATTTCCAAGTGTTTTCGAATTTTTTTTCGCCCTTTCGTTCCTCTTGCGTCCGAGGAACAGAGAGGATTAGAAACTTCTCATCCGAGAGATGAATGCAGGAGGAATGAGGAAAATATATGATAGAATTAATTTTATGATATAACAGAGATTGATTTAATGTTCACGATTATTCCACTCCTACTCTCGTAATATCGTGTTACGACACATTATGCTTTTATCGTCCACACGCACTACGATGGACGATGTGTGTGCGTGTATTTTACTGATACGAAAATAAGTTTCCCATGAAATAAGATCTCATGTTGTTAGGGTTATCAAAATGTGAACTCACGTAGACGATTCAGTGATAAATCAAGCGCAACGAACGATTTGCATAGATATATGATTAGTTGTTATATTCATGAAAAGATAATTCTCTAAAATGGAGCGTGAGATAAAAGGAGCAAGGACTCCTACGAAGGTAAGTAAGAGGTCGTCGTAGGGATAGTTGTAAATGTCAAAAATAAATATCTGCCGTACTAAAATAAATTCTTTTTCAATCAGTATAGCAAAATGAAAAATAACGACGCTCGCGCTTCTATACAATATCAGACATACATATATACAACATCAGACATACAGAAAATATTTTCTCTCCGCATTTGGATTTATTATAATTAGAGAAAGATAGATAAATATGTGGTGTACATCGATAAATATCATGAGTCTCGTGGTATCGCTCCTAATCACCACTGAGAATAAATCTAATTAAATAAAAAAAAATTTGAGCAAAGTGAACCTTAAATATTTGTAAATTTATATACATATCTAATTCTACAAAAATCTTACATTCTACATTAAAGAAACCTGTATCGAATCTCGTCGTTGAGACGAGTTCATTAATTGAACGATCGTATGTAATACGTACTGTCGTCGCGTGTGCGTCATCACTTAATTAAGTACAGGTCGATCATTATGGCGCGGTATAACGCACTGTCGCGGTCGGCGACACCGCCAAGTAATAATCACGACGAGATGCAAATGCTAACCATCGACGGATCACAACCGCCGCCGGCATAATTACACATTATTTCCGATGCACTAAAGTCTCAATCACAACTTTGGCCGTGTTGCGGGCGTGTTTCTCTGTCATTTTCTCACGATGCAACAACGGTACGTCAATTTATCATAGGAATTACTGGTTCACCGGCATCCTTTTAGACTTTGCGTTCGCCGGATTGATTATTCGCTATATTAAATGATTTCACGATGGATCGCGAATAAAAAGGTGCTTTAGAAGCTTGTTGATTGTTTTTAAGCCCTTTACTTAAAAAAATGTTCTTCAACTTTGCGAACGAATATTAATATTTAAATTTATCATATAATATTTTTGGAAATGTTATTATTCGCGATAAACAAGTAGAAGTTTCCATTTCTAAGAATAAACTCGCTTATTAAACGGTTTGTCAAACCGCAAAGCGTTGTTAGTGAAAAATTTCATTGGATTTATTTTACCGTTTATATCTTCAAGCAATCTATTAATTCTGATTATCACATTGAAATTATACATCATAATGACAAATCTCTCCGTATAGAAATGATTAACACAATTTGCCAGTAACATACATTATTCTAATTGCACAACAATTATTATTTACGTTACCGAGTTTTACTTGACCCAAATTCGTTTTTCCGTGCCTTTATGAGAAACTATCGGTATCTTTTGTCTTTAACCGAACATCTCGAGCATAAAAATCTCAAGAAGCGTTTAAAAAATTAGACTAAATATAGTTCTAATATCTTTTGAATATATTCATATTACCGAAGAATTCTTATTTTCTTCTTTTTTTTTTTTTTAATAGATCGCGACGGTTTTCGCTCGTTCGTTCATTTTTTTCAAGCGATTTCCATTTCGTTCAGAGCATCTCAAGAAGGTTATTTTGAACGGAATTTTTTCGGAGAACCACATTCTGTTTCGAGCGAGATTTCCAGAGACAGGCAATCATAGCACTGAAGGAAAGTATCATCATTATCAGAGTACCCCATTGCAAAGCCAATTCGATATTGCCCACTGTGAAATGCGCGCTGTGGGCGATTTCCAACAATTGTTCCGGAAATTCGTCTACCTTGACTTCGACCCAGATAAGTGGAAGGATCATGCCGTCCTTCAGGTTCCCGAGAAACGGCACGCCGATTGCCTTTCGCACCTCCAAGTTCAATTGCATCCTCAACCGACCGTCTAAGGGAATTGCTAAGCGCTAAAAATAGAAATTTGAGTTTAATCTTTATTTGTTTTCGATTGTAAAAGTAGCAATAAAGATTGGAGATAGTATTGTTTCTCAATTCTTTGACAGAATATTAGAGTCATTCTATCTTTGTCTCACTAAATATCGAACAAAGACGGACTTCTATGTCGGTCTTCTTTTCTGCTCTAGAAAGCTCTCAAAATTAACTCGTGAAATGAAAATCAGTCATAAGATTCAAATAACAACAATTGACGTGATGTGATTATCCACCCTTACAGAAATTTAGTATTGCAAGGAAATAATGCATCAGAAATTAATTGTAATTACTTGTTTGTTTTGCGTATTAAAACTATTATTTAGTGCTTTTAGTACTCAAAATTATAGTAATCTTTTATTAAATTGGTCAGTATTATAAATTTCTGTAAGTTAAGTAAGTTAAATAAATATTTAATCGATAATATAATACAATAGTTAAAATTTAATGTTGACTTACCGGATGTATGTCTATGTAGTTCTCATGATCTTCCTGCCGAGGATTTAAACCGTCTATTTGTTCCAGCAAAGACTTATCGGCACCATAAAAATGCGGAAATGATAAGAGCAAGGGCATGTTAAAAACGCATGCAGATATGTTTAAGAGTCCTGAGGGTGGACAGATTCTCTTTTCATGTACTTTCGGGCAGAAGCATTCGTTTTGCTTATTTGAGAAGTTATACGCATCTGGCATGAATTTATATCTGAGACGAGAAAGAAAATCATGTTAAGAGAGACGTGTCTTCAATCAATTCACTATATTTTCCAATAGAAAACTATAATAGTAATATATTTTCTCATTTTTGAATTATTTTTTTATAAATAAATCTCTTTAATAAAATGATAATCATAATAATTATTATTATATTTATTATTATAATTATAGTAATAATAATTATTATTACAATGCGAGGAGCAGACTGCTTCTCGTCTCGATAAAGTGAATTGCAACGTTCATGAAACGTTAACATTTCAAGAATGAACATAGACACATGGAGATAATCCATGAAACAGATAGTTTCTATATAGAAAGTACTCGTAGAAGCCTCAAAGGTATAAATAATAATAAAATATTAATAAATAATAATAATCATTGTAAAGAAATTCTCGTAACCGAAATTTCTATGCAATTATTATCATATCATCAGACGGATTTATTTATAAGAAAAAAACGCTTTGAAATATGAGAAGATTACATTATTATTTAATAATAGCTGGAACTAATTAGAATAAATTTTTTAAATATTTATATAAAGAATTTCCTAAGACTCTGATTGAAAATATTCAGAAATATAATGTAACTTTTCCCTACTTAGCGATAAAAATTTGCAATTAAATCGTGATGCATTAAAGTGCAAAATTTAACTTTTTATTTACCTTAAAGAAGGTATGTCGTAGGTAGTCGTTTGTTCGATAAAATGAAGTGGTAGCTTCCTGCAAATATCCTTAACATACACGTAAAGAGGTTTACTTGTGTCCTGTACCAAATGTGGTGGAAATAGGCCACCCTCGGAGCCTTCAATTTTATCGCATTGCTCGTCATCCCAAATGACCCGGCTGTTCATTCCGTTTACCTGGTCGATCACGCCGAGATTTTTCACGTCTTCCAATCCTGTATGCATCGTGATGCGATCCTTATCGATACCATTTTTCTATTTTTAAAAAATGTGCATTTCATATTAATCGCAATTGAAAAATCATATTGCCTTAATATATCCAAAAAACAATCTCACCATAACGCCGCGATAAAATTACCTTTCGTAATGTTTTTTTTGTGTGGAAAAAGATTGGTTTGGAAATATTTTAAGATTGGTATTTTATAATCGGTATTCATTATCAGTTCTTATAAAAATTTAAGTTAAATTATTCTCCCCCAGAAGAACAAAAAAGTCAAAATAACGTCACATTGATTAAATTAAGAAAAAAAAAATGATATAATTCGGTCAATATGACATCAAATTGACATTAGTTTAACTTTCTTGTTCTCCTCAATCGTCTTAAGACATTACTAATATATTAATATGACTCTGTGATTGGCTTATGAGATCTTAAGACTGTACTTAAGACTGTCTTAAATATAAGAACCGATCATATGAATACCGATATAAATAGAAATAAAATTTTCAATAAGATTCAAAACTCTCCGCGGTTAAACGTATGTAATCACGCACCATGGCCAGTATGCCGAACTTTTCAAAGGGTATGTCCTGCTGCAGCGTTAACAACAGCTTAGCCATGTGGAAGAGCTGAGTATCGTATCCCCAGAGGAAACCATTGACAGTCTGATTGATGAACAACTGCTCCTGCAGAGTCGACAGCACCGTGTTAGTAACGAATCGCACTGCGAAGCTCAGGTCCCGGACATACGCGGTGGTGAACATCAACGGCACGTTCGGTACCAGGACGATATCGTTCTTGGATCGCCCGCCTATCCATTTAAAGGATCTCTTAGTCTGATAAGTGATAGTGTCATTATCGTGCAACACCACGTTCATGCGACTCATTGTCTCTTGATATTCGTAGGGACCAACCTCCTGGACGCACAGCTTGCTCGCTTCATTCGCTTCGAATTCGTTCACGTTCGTATAATTAAAGATATAGATATTATATTTCAACTTCAAGGGTGGGTGTTGCCACCAGTCAAAGATGACAGTGCCGTTACGCAATTCTAGCCATGACAACACGTAATTGTTGATCGCGTTTGTGTACCAGAACACGTAAAAGCCGGCGGAACTGATCAGGAAGATGCCGCAGTAGATCCAGACGAGCCAAATGCGAAGACGATGACTGCGTCGAGCGCAACGCCCGATCGCTTTCTTCTCTATATCCAAGGCGGTATCGGTCATCGAGATCCTCATACCGATCGCCAGCGTAATCGCCAAGGTAATCGGTGAAAGAGACAATAATCTATGCTAACTGTACGATTTCAATTTTTGTAGAAATCAAAGAATCTCAATTTTTAATTTAGGCTCGATCAAAACTGAATCTTTCGGTTTCAAAAAGTAGTTTCCAAAATCAAAATCATCTGTTGGACACACTATCCTTTAAAAACCTACGTCCGTAAAGCAATAAAGACAAATGATCGGAATCTCCAACGTGTGTTTGAATAGAAATCTCAATCGGACACAAATAGATAAGTCGACGACGCAGCGGAGCGTCACCGTTGATGTATAATGTTTTAAACGAACTGGCCAGTTAAGCTATGCCGATCGCGTAGAAAAACTTCCCCGCCTTTTTTAAAATGATAATATTGACGATAATCTTGCCACGCAAGATGACCTTTGATAGCTAATCCTCCGATATATAGTTCAGTGCGCCAAGTTCAGAGGCGATGGTACTGTTTTAAATTCTCATTCTCTCCATTATCGCTCCATTATTCATATCGCTCTTCTTCAGGTTTTCGGAAACCACCGGCTGAAGAAATATCTGAATATCCAATGCATTTAGAAGAATATCTCTCTAAGAAACTTTGGAAAAATCGTTTTCTTTATCAGGCGTATCTTGTTGTTTTTCTTTATCTAATCCCTCCTTATTGAAGATGATATCATGAATTTACGCGTTTTATTTTGGGTCAATTCCTAAACAACATAATATTTTGAAAGAGCGTTCGAAGGAAGGGAAGAACAAAAACGAAAAATTAGGAGTAGGAAAAAAAACTCACCATCAAGTTCGTCGCTGATTCGGAGAATAATTTCCCCACCTATATCGTTCGCAATTCTGCACGCGAGAGACAGAGACAGACAGAGAAAAAGAGAGCATAGAGGGAGAAAAACAGAAAGGAGAGGAAGACTTATTTTTGCATTCGCAATCGCGAGTGCAAAAATAAGGAGGCAGGGCGTGTCATGTATTCGATTCATTATCAAGTAAAACTGAAGGCTGTGCCAATTGGAGGATCGTACGATATGTTTTATCGCCACCAGACGGGAAAAAACATGATTATAGATATCTTCCCGCCCAGAAAAGCTGAAGACACGCTTGAGACTCACTGTTTTGTGTATATAAGAGGAATGAAATAAAAAAATCTCGAGAAACACAACAAATGTCTCCAATCTTTCTTCTACAGCAGAAATGTTAAAATTATATCTCAGGGACCGCTTAAAGATATTGCAACATCTTTAAGTCTATGATATCTTTAAGTCTGGATATTTGTGCTATGTAGATTATTATATAATATATAAAGAGAATTTTGTTTTAAAATTTACTTCGAAACTATGGTAGTTGTGGTACAATACAATATTTTAAAAATTTTTACCATGCACTTCAGTAAAATTAATCAAACTTATTTTATATTTTATTGTAGTTTTATTAATGAATGAGAGAGATTTACATTAAAATTGGAAATACAATATTGTCCCATGATCATATTTTCAAGGTAAATTAAGAAAAAATTCTCTCCATGTATAATAATCTACACAGCAGTAGTGTACAAACAATCAGGTGTTTTATATTTTATTTTAAGGTATAGACTAATAACTATGACAGGCTTTATTTTAACACTTAGGTTTAGATTTTACAAGAAAATTATTGAATCTTAATTGTATAAGTATTTGAGATTTTCGCTAATATCGCATATATCAGGCTTTACTCATTAGATTTTTTTTTGCATCAAAATATTTCTTTCCTGGCAATACTAATAAAAATTCTTATTAGTAACAACAATCGCATATCAGTTGATTATATAATGAGAAAAAAGGACGGTTCTGTATAATTATATTACAATTTGCATCACAATATAAATTGTGTAATTGTAGAACTATTTTATATCATAATAACAGTGTGGGAAACATCGATCTACTTTTGCATAAATAGGATTATTTTATCTGCTTAAATAATCATGCGCTAGATGCATGAAAGAATAATGTCAAAAAGAATATCGTAAAAACATTAAACATTGTAAGATTCCATGGAAATAACTCGGACAACCCGAAGATGTTACCGAGTCGAATAAATTTTGCAGTAAAATCTTGAATATTTATAATAAAAATATGATAATTTTCTTGTAAAATCTAAGCGAGAGTCAGCAAAATAAAGTCTGTCATAATATAGGATTTATATAAACAGTATAAGATTTCATAACTTCGCATCTGAATGATTGATGATTTCTAAGAAATTTTTTTAATATCTACAACTTGTTCGATTAGTAAAAATTTTTATAGATGCAGCGGCGTCTCAATAAATAAAATAAATCAAAAAGATAAATAAAATAACAGAAGAACACTAGGGTTTTTTCTGTTCAAATTAGGGTTATATAATTAGGGAAATAAACATTTTCCTTCTGTTTGAGGCTTTTGTTCACTCACCACTATTTTTACTATTATCTCACAATTCAGATATTGTGATGCCAGAAACGAGAAAATGCATGATAAAAATTCCTGCAAACAGTACTAAGGAAATATGTATAAAAATATTAATAAAAGAACGCACTTAATAGAACTGAACTTCTATTCTTGAAAAAAAGCATATATGAACAATTAAAGAAATACTATACTATACGTATACTATAGTATATCCCTAGTTTTTCGTATACGTTTCTTTTCAAAAATAGAGACCCTGCTTGTAAAATATAAAAGTTCTCCTTTTGTTTCGTTATTTATATATAATAATTAATAAATAACTATATATCTGGAAATGAATTATGTATAACAAAAAGAAGTAAGCTATATTCTAATTGTGACAAAGTAATATGTTATATTATACAGAAGATAATATGTTATAATATAGAAGAAAATATAATTTGATTTCTTTCTGAAAACAAAATTTTTGATATTTTAGAAATTTATTCTATCGATTGCAGTCGTTGCTTTATTGAAAAATATCTGTATTCAAATATATTTGCAAGAATTTTTATTATATGTGTTTTCTCGCTTCTGACATCATAATTTGAAATAATAGTGACGAATAAACAAGAGCCATAAGACATTTTGGTGATTGCAGATTTTCGAAAATTATTGAAATTTGTCTTAGGTCATATGTGTGTGTATATACAATATTTAATCTAAAAGTACTAAAAACATTTCATGATATATCTAAGTATTTTGAAATCTCAAGATATTATTTAATTTAATATTTTTTCAGTTTATCATAATTTGTTTTTAGTTAGTATGTAATCGATATTCGCATAAAAAATTTAGCGCGCGCGCGAGCGCGTAATATTGTGTAAATAATATTTCAAATTATCATGTGACAAATATAACTTTTTTTTTAAACATCTCAAACTGCAAGTGTACGTTACAGTGATTACATGTAAAAAGATACGGTCACCCTCCACCTTCCTTATATGCGCCTCCTATAAGTTCGCCGACAAACAATAATATTATTCTATTTTTTCTAATATATGCTAATTGCCCGCATGATATCAAACACATCTATTCGCATTTCTCATCATTAAGTATTACTATATTATGATTAGTGGATGGCCTCTTCACTCGCGTCATTCCTCTGCGCCGCGTAATTCCCACTTATGTCGTCCTTAACGGCGCATCGTACAATAGCTGTTTTTATTTGGTTGCGTGCACGGGATTACGCAAAAGTAGCGAGATTTCGGTCGGGATCGACCAAGCCTTAGTAAGGTGGCCCGTGTCACGTCTGAATTCTGACGATACGTGTCGATTTGTATAGTCAGGACCTAAAAAGTTGTAACACTTTTTTTAAAATGGGTTTCGGAATGTAACCTACTCACCGAGCAAGCTGCATTCCAAAATCCATCGAAAAAAAAGTGTTGCGACCATTTAGGTTCTGACTATATATATAACAAAAAGTACATATATGTACAAAAAATTATTATAATTATGATATACTCAGGATTGTTAGTGTTATATAAAAAAGTAACGAAGTTACTGATTTCGTCACTTATTTTAGTAATGAATGAGTAACGAAGTTACTTTTCCTAGGGAGTAACAGTAACGCTAATTAAATCACAATTTTCAGGAGTTAATAATAAAATTTTACGTAACTTTTTTCGTTACTTCGTTGATATAGGATGCGGTCAAGTTGTCGCTACGAATGCTTCGAAGCATTTTTTGATTAAATTCTTTCTTCTGATTGGTTAATCAAATGCATTCATAGTGGCAACTCGATCATACCCATAGAGTTATTTTAATAAAGACGCGTTCACACCTTGACGGAAAAGCAGTGACCAATCAGAATTCGCGCTGGTAATAAATAGTACAAAAAGCCGAAATTGTCGACACTGCCTAACAGATGAATATATTGAACAACAATTACCTATTATTAAACAAAAATTCAACAAATTAAAATATATGTAAAATATAAATAAGAGGGTTGTTAAAATTATCGTTTTTTTAGTAATGCGTTACAGTTACTGTTATTTGCGGCAAAAAGTAATTCGTTATTCGTTACTTATTATTAATTCTAAAAAGTAATGCGTTATTGTTCTTTAAAATAACAGCAAAATTGTTACTTTTTTCGTTATTTTACATAAATGATTGCATTTATGTAAATTTAAATAACTACATAAGGACAAATTGTTTTTAATTTATATTTTTATTTTATTTACATTTTACTAGTTCTTTATTATGATACATATTTTAATACAATTAAAATAAATGTATAAATATAAAATATAAATAAAGACTCTCGATCTTAAACAATAAAATATAAATAAGAGTTAGACAAGGCTAATGAGAATCATACGCTGTTGTAAGAGCGGAGAGATAGAAGAAGCAGATAAGACTCCAAAAGAAGCTAAAATGTTCGAAATAAATTGAAGATAACTAGCAACATCTGAGGATTATCTGCTTTTCGTATCTTTCGCTCTTACAACAGCGTATGATTCTTATTAGCCTTATCTAACTCTTATTTACATTTTATTGTTTAAGATTAAGAGTCCTTATTTATATTTTATATTTATACTTTCTATTTTATATTTATTTTAATTGTGTTAAAATATGTATCATAATAAAGAATTAATAAAATAAAAATATAAATTAAAAACAATTTGTTTTTATGTAGTTATTTAAATTTACATAAATGCAATCATTTTTGTGAAATAACGAAAAAAGTAACAATTTTGCTGTTATTTTAAATAACAATAACGCATTACTTTTTTTAGAATTAATAATAAGTAACGAATAACGAATTACTTTTTGCCGCAAATAACAGTAACTGTAACGCGTTACTAAAAAAACGATAACTTTAACAACCCTAGATATGTTGGACGACAGCAATGGATTTTGTCGAGCTCATCGAGAATAATTGAATGTCGTAATGCTGTCGACTGTGGTGATAAACCTGATGTTAATAATAAGTTTGTCGCGAGGATTTACGAGCGGCCAGACAGATTTATGATTTTTAATGACACGCTTT